CTTCACTGAGAAAGCTTTGGGTTCACTGCAGTGTGGGTGATTTCTGGCAATACAGTGATCTCTTCTCCAACCAGTGGACTACACTGTGACACCATGCCTGATGTGAGGTCCCTCCAGGCCCTGCCAGGCCTTCCACCCATCCCTGCAACCTTGCTGGGGCCCCACCATGTCCCCAGAGATTAGGGCTGGTCACAGATGGGAAGGTCACTGAGAAGCCTAAGTGGTATGGATGCCTCTGTGGAGAGGGCCAGGGACACTTGCGGGTGGGTGGTGTCCAGGCCACATCTAATAGGTAGCACATAGACAGGTGTCGGCTGCTAGAAGTCCTGCAGCCTTCTTGTGGGTTTTACCCATCTGTCACTCTCCACACATGGCCTAGAAATGGGGTGGCCTGAGTGATACCCACAGGGAGCTCTTGGGGCGAGGGAGACAGGCAAGGGCTCTGCACAGATAGTGGGAACAGGCACCTGCAGCAGCCTGGCTGGAGAGGGCTTCCCAGAGCCAGTAGGGCAAATCTCGAGGGACAGAGGCAAGAGACAGGCACACATGGACAGGTGGGACAGCCTGGCACAGGCCTGGAGTCAGGAAGAAGTGACACCCCAGCACAATGCCAATTCCTTCCTAGGAGGCCCGGGAGAGCCTAAGCCCTGCAGCTGGACATGTTGGGGTTCAGATCTGGAGGGATCCCTACCTATCTGTGGTGGCCACTCCTCTGCTTCCTTGTCTTTTTTTATTTTTATTTTTATTTTTATTTTTATTTTCGGAATTGGGGATTGAACTCAGGCCCTTGCGCTTCCCAGGCAAGCACTTATTCTACTGAGCCATCTCCTTGGCCCCTTTGTCTTTTTTGAGACAGGGTCTTGCTATGCAGTTCAGGCTGGCTTTGAACTCACTTTTGTAGCCTAGGCTGGTCTTGAACTCTCAGCGATCCTCCTGCCGCAGCTTTGCATCCTAATCTTTTTGTGGTGGATATGGGATATGGTGAGTCGGAAGACAGCCTCAGCCAGCACCTATGGGAACTCGGATTCTGTGAGCCCTGGTAGCTCAGCAAATGCTACTGCTGGGGAGTCTTGGCAGAGCAGGAGAGGAGCCGGACAGTCATAGTGAGGAGACTGGGGGTGATTGTCCAGCAGGGCGCAGGGTGCAGGGAGAATCACAGCTGTCCCTCAGAGTGTTCATCTGGAACCTCACACAGGCTGTGTCCACCACAGCCGTGAGAAGGGAGCCCCAATCCACGCAGCTGCCATAGTCTGGGCAGCATCACTGTGCCGGACAGACCCAGCCCAGGGGCAGAAGTATAGGATCTGCTGTGCTCTCCGTGGCCAGGCTCAGGTAGTACTGGAAGTGTTCTACATGGCCTGTGGCCTGGCGCCACTTTCTCTGCGTGATACCTTGCTGCGTATAGGCTGAAGTGGTGGCCATGCCTGGTGGGAGCTGGGACACTGGTTGTTGCTTGCTCCTGCTGCCCTCTGTGGAAGGGTGGCTGATGCCAAGGGCCTAGGCCTTGCCGGACTCCACAGAAATACAGAGGCGGTGAACAGCACCCAGGGAATCTCGGGGAGAGTTGCAGAAAGTGAGACCACTCTGGGGAGAGGAATGACTTTTGCTACACATGACCCAGAGGTAGGGGCAATGCAGGGGGAGTCCCCTGGGGAGAACACCTAAGTTGGCCTCCTGACTTTCAATGTCTTGTGCATCTAGTTGGGCATGGTGGCACACACCTATAATCCTAGCACTTGGGAGGCTGAAACAACAGGGTCATCACTAGTTTGGGTCCAGCCAGGGCTACATAACATGACCATGTTTCAAAAACAAACAAAAAGAGCCAGGGAGATGGCTCAGTGGAATAAGCACTTCCCTGGCAAGTGCAAGAGCCTGAGTTCAATCCCTGGTGCCACCAAAAAAAAAAGAACAAAAGTCTCTTAGGCATCTAATAACACTTACAAAGTACTTCCTGTGTGCCGGGCCTTGTTCTAAGCTCCTGTCAGTAGCAAGTCACTTCAGCCCTGTCACATCAGTCCCAGGAGAGGTAAGGAAAGAGGCCCCCAGGAGGTGAAGGGCCCCCCAGCCCTCAGAGCAAGCTGCAGCCCAGCTTTCCCTCCAGCAGAAGGGCACATTGACTGTGCATCGCCTTGGAGGGACCTCTTTTCTTCTTCAGAGGGGACCTGGGGCTGTACCTGGGGCAGGAGACAAGGGTCATTCAGGGAGTAGACACTTGCCTTGAGCTACAGACATCGGTGGTGTGGGAAGTCTTGTAACCACGTTGCCATTCTACTTGGCATGGGGCCTACCTGACCCCAAGTTAAAG